GATTCTGAATTGATTATTAGGGCCCGAGTATGAAACATATGAGGTCCCTATTGAAACTGCAAAGTAATCTTGTTTTTGGGGGCCTAAACATGCTTAAAAACTCACCAAACCTTGTCAAGTGGCGAATAATTACATATTTTATGGGTCCTGCACATGGGCATGACAAAATGGCTCGCTAGCGCCACCCGCCACCTGCACCTCAAGGACCCATAACCCAAATTTAATTTTTCACCATTTACAAGGTGCGTACTTTAACAAACTCCTCCTAGAGAATTAATCTGATAGTGTTGTGTTGTTCAAAGAATGTTTCGTTCATTTGATTGACTTAATCTTGTATATGACTCAGGTGGAACGAGTAGTCTCAGTGAGTAATGCGTTCATTTTCACGCATGCAAACTCATCAAACTATTACATTAACTTTACGGTTTTTCACAGATGAGAAGGGCAGAACTATGGTAAAACAACAGATCTGGCATTTGATAAAACAAACTGCTGTACACAGCCTTGCAGAGGGCACACATCCAACTAATGACGGATGTTTTATTACCTGGAAAAATGCAGACGTATATTGTAGCTACTCATTCATTACCGACACTCACACAAAAGACATAGGCCTAGCCTACCAGTTTTTCTCCTTGAAGCACAAACGTCCCATTGTTCATGAAAATTGCCTTTCTTCTCGTCTTGGACATTTTGGGAATTTGTATACATTTCTCATTTCCACTTGTTAAAAAAACAGTAAAACGGAGGTGTGGAAACACAGCAGTCTAGTGGCGGGATGCCGTCACAAAATCGACATGCATTGTGGGAGATGTAGTTTATTGTTCATGTACGCTTTAAAGCAGCATAAACTTTTATTTTAGGACAATCATGAATCTTTTAAGCTTTTGCGGGCCACATAAAATGAAGTGGCAGGCCAGATTTGGCCTTGTTAGACACGTGTCCTAGAGAATTAGTCCGTGCAACTTGGAGTTTTTGCTGTACAGTCTGAGGTCTCCCCCGTCAGTAATTCTTTAACTTGCTACATTTTCCTCCTTGTTTGGAGTTTGGACACATGATGTATATGTTTGTACCGCTACTCAGGCACCAACGGCGGCGTCGGGTCATTTTTTTGACTGTAGCCCTCAATGTAACTCAACAACAGCAACAAAAATATTTTCCATGTTAATATGCAACGGATAAGAGCAACGGATAAGAGCTAAGGGAAAGGGCGGAGACTACTCGCAATAATATTGCTACATTTTCTTTGAAGTTCATGTAACATGACCCCCTGCCATTACTCAGCCTGCCTGCGGGTAAGCACCAGAGGAGAGAGAGAGAGAAAGGGAGAGCGCAATGCTCACAGCTTCAGGGCTTGTCCGCAACTTCTGAATTGTCTCTAGCAAAATTGTAATCAATACATTTAAATATAAATGTTGTCGTTCAGTGTCTAGTCAATGTATTAATACAAATGGTTGACAGTCGCTGCAAAGTAGTGAGACAGTATCATGACACCTGACCGTGACACAGACACCTGACTCTGTGTGCTGCTGTCTCTGTCCCCCTCGCTGTGATACACTAGTGTTTCACTGTCTCCAGGATGCTTCATTCCCTATAATGCGGCTGTGAGCTGCACTTTAAAAGTGAACATTTGTGTGGAATCGTAGTGATATTTCTGTCTGATCACAAGTGTTTTCAGTTTAAGATGGTGCTACCCACATTTGAAGTCAATCGGGTTAAAGCTCTAGGAGGAGTTAGTTGAAGTATGGAGCTTGTAAACGGGGAAAGGTCTTGTAAACATTTAAAAATGGCCGACTTCCTGTTGGGTTTAGGGTATGGCTCTTTTTTTTTTAGGTCTAGAGATGATACATCGGCCCCCCCACGTTTTATACAGCTAGGCATATGGCAGTTGAAATCTTGCAGGGGGCGCTATTGAGCAAAATTTCCACAACCACGCCCCCAAGCCGTATCAGACAATAAAAAACAATACTTTTGACATGCATGCCAAGTTTGAGGTTTTGAACATTCCTAGCCATGGTGAAGGGTAAAAAGCCTTTAGGGGGCGCTATACAGACAACGTGCAATCCAAAGTCCCACAAATGACATCAAATACAAATATTACCAATTCGAGTGTAAAGTTTTGTGGCTCTTTGAGCATCGTAAAGGCCTCAAACACCTGTTGTAAATATTGAAAATGATGCAGGAAGTGCAAAATGGCTGACTTCCTGTTAAGCAAAATCTCATAAAAAAAAAAAAAAAGCTGATATGCGGTCTTTGTAATAAGAGCAATAATCCCCACCGAATGTCATGACGATCAAAGAAACTTTTTCCAAAACACATTATTTGTTTAGGGGTGCTGTAGAGCCCCCTGGCCTCACCCCAACCCAGTCACTGCAGAACATTGGATCTCCCACCAGTCCTGAGGTGTGTGGAAATTTTCGTGAGGATTTTTTATTTATGGTGAAACATCAAAATTCAACGCCATGCTGTTTGAGCAATCAAAAAACCATATCAGCCAATATAAAACAACCGTTTTGATGAGCATGCAAGTCTTGTGAGGGTTTGACTATCCCTGGCCATGTGACTGCTAAAAAGGCTTTAGGGGTGCGCTATAGAGCAAATGTACAAACCTCAGCCTTAAAAATGACATCAAATCGAAATATTACCAGTTTGAGTCAGGCTGCAAAATTTTGTGTCTCTTTGAGCATTTTTAAAGGCCTCAAATATCTGTTTTTATCTGTTGAAACAAGGTAGTGTGATCCAAATCAAAGCCGCTTCAGACTGCGACCGTAATCTAGCAGATGGTATGAGTTACTCTCGAGTCCACAACATCATTGTTCCACATCTTACCATCAGGACTGAACGCTGAACTGTTGCCGGTGTTCTGACGATCTATGCTGCCTTGCCGAAAAATGCTACCATAGCGCAAATCGATAGACTGGACGCTACTCGGCCCTGCTCCGTTTTCCATTGCAGACAGTACCCAGAGATAGTACGTAGCTGGTCGTCATAGCGACGCCACACACAGGCTTCCCCCTCCGCGCTCTTCAACTCCGAAAATATTCAAGCACATTTTGTTCCGCCATCACTTCTCGTAAAACTGTCTATATTATAATAAACTGTACATATAATATAGAAATATTGAAATCTACACAGCTGATTTCTCACCTCAAAACTTCTCAGAAGTGGATTTAGTGATGAAATTCCATACGAAAACTGTAAAATATAAAACTTTCTGTTACTCGCCTCTGTCTGGTGCAGCAATGATGATGCAGTGAATAGTGAATATTCTCTCTGACCAATCAGCAGTCTGTCTGTTTTCACGTTACATTTTAGTTTCCCTCAGCTCGCTTGGAACCTCGACGGAGGTGAGGTGATATGAAAAAAAGTACCTGGAAGCAGGTACAGGTGCAACATTTCGCTCCCGTTTCAGCTCATGTTCAAAACTTTGCACATTTAGAATGTCTACAACATATCTGTTTTCTGAAATGTCGAGAAAAAAAGTCATTATCAGACTAATGTCGTCATTTAATGAGATGTCTAACTGCCCTTTACTCTGCTGTGCATTACATTATTGATCCGCTGGTCGGAACAAACAAATCCACACGTTAACTTCAGCAGCTCTGATAAAGTTCAGCTCATAGTTCCAAACAGAGCACAGTTGCCCTTCAGTTTTTAGATGTTTATGTTGCAAAACTCTACCAGCGACGTTACCATTCGTCACATCTGTCTGGACTCACAGCTTGAGCGGGTCCAGCTGATTACCACCACAGCGTACGCCGGTATGTCAATCAGCTTGGCGGAGCTTTGGAGTCAATCTTATCAGTTGGTATTTCACTGCGTGAGAAAATTAATGTGTGCCTTGACAGCGTGCGAGATCTCGTCACACCCCTACTGATCACTCATCACAAAAAACTTGGTGGTTGTGTAGTTTTTGAAGCAGGGACGGATTCATGGTACACTAGCACTCCAGCAGCCCCCACACAATCCACGCCACAAGTAATGTAAACAAGACTATTGAAAATTATTACAATAACTTTAGTAAAACAGAACACGTCACTGGCAGCGCTCCCTCCGCACCGCCACGGGTCTCCACGTCTTTGCATAGACACCGCGCCCAGTTCGCTTTTGGTCTAAAAGCACCTTTAGAGGAGTGTCCCTGCTGGGCATAGAATTCATGGAGGAGTTTTCAGAAATGTATTTCAGACCGCTAAGCAATGAAAGTAATAGGAGTCTTCTAAACAGAGTCACTTTATATGAATGTAGGTCAGTGTGAGCTCTTATTAACACATTAACTGTGTTATTGTTATAACTAACTCTTACTATAAGACCGCTCTTTCGGTTACTGTTTAAAGTGGATGCCAGGACTCTGCCGCTGATTATGTATAGCAGGTGGGAGTGCCAGCACTCATAGGTCAAAAGTCCCCCCCCCCCCCCCCCCCCAACACACACACACACACACACACACACACACACAGACCTAAGAGCAGCTGCCAATGAAAGACGTATCTGGAAGCATGGCAGGATGTGATTGAGTCAATCCAGCCCATGTGATGCATTCCTCTTGGTGGTCTGGCCAGTCTGTTAAGGAAAGGCATGTGCAAATGGCCTTTTATTAAACTTGGACAGGGAGCCACCTTGTGTTAGGCAGTAGACCAGGAATTGAGTATGCAGAGGGCTGTTCCAGTGTCTGTAACATTCTTTGAGGTGTATATTTGACTTTGAGATGAAAGGGGTTGTCTTACTGATTTTCAGCAATGAATTATGATTTTATAATTAATAGTATATAGTTTGTGGCGGTCAGTGCTGATATTGTGTTGTTGCCACAAATAAATCAATGAATGGGGAAAAACTGCAGTGGAGTGCAGATTCTAGAGACTGTTTTTACGTCATCTTAGTTCTTATAGTGAGTTAGTTAAAATCACCTTAATATCATCTAGATCAGTTTTACTATGAATTGTATTCAATGTGAAACATCCCTCAACTAATACAAATCTATGTGTGTCTCTTGTAATGTTCAGGTGTAGCTGTTAGTGTCCTGAGGAAATGCCACTGAGGTTTCGCTCTGTTGTGCCCTACACTCTGCCCGGAGTTCTCGCACTGATCGGCTGGTGGTGGTACATCTCACGGAAGAAAGAGCGACTCATCAGTCATGACGGCCCAGAAGGGGCTACAACCGCTATGGCCCTAAGAACATCTCCCGCAGAGGGTAGCAACGGTTTAGTTGAGAAAGGCACTGTTTCCCCCACAAATGACACAGAAAGCCCCACCCACAGACCTCCAAAGGTCACAAACCAGAGAACAGAACATGAAAATATTTCCCAGGTCCATGTCCAGGACACGGAGTGTCCAGCGGTACCTTCACTGGAACACAGTTCTGATGAAGCTGCCCATCATATTGGCAGAATAATACTAGAGGAAGTCCATAAGTCCTCAGTCTTGAGTCTAACATCCCCTGGCAAAGAAGACAGCCTGCAGGTATCCTCAAATGACCATAAAGACCCTGCAGTGGTGACAGAGCTGGAGAAATGCCAAGTCAAAGATCTATCCTCTGCTTTAGAAGCCATAGTAGAAGGGGTCGTCTTGCCCTGCCAGTCTGGCAAAGTCACCTGCTCCCCCACAACTACACACCTTGCTGAGGAAGAGAGGCCTGAACCAGAGGGCGAAGTTGCAAAGCACCACAGTGTTGTTAATACACAAGATGAGATGGTTATGTGTGCAGTCACCCCAGCCAAAGTGCAGAGGGTGATGCCACCAGAGGCTGATTCTCTAGAGACACCCCCTTCAGCACAGGATTTCCACCAAGACATTCTAACCAGCACACCTACCTCCCCGGCCTCCACAGCCCTGACAAAGATCCAAGACTCCACCAACAGATCAGTGAGTCCAGAGGTTATCCAGATACACGGTGGCAGTGGAGAGGAGCAGGATCTTGAGCTTCTGGCAGCTGGACTCATTACTGAGGTCATCTCGGCAGCCACCCAGGAGGTCCTTGGTGTCACCAGCTGGCAGGTCACAGACAGCAGCCGGCCTAGCTGTAGTAGCAGCACACCACTGGGTAGTGGCAGACTATGCTCCCAACAGAAGCCAATCCCAGCAGCACAGCAGCACCACCATCTACTGATAAGCCCCTCTCAGATAGGCTGTGATTCTAGAGAGGCAACAGAGAAAGAAGAACAAGGGATGCCTAATGGATGCTCGTCTGTTTCAGTATGGGAGCCTGTTGAAATCAGTCCCAGTGTTCATCAGGCAAACAATGCACAGAGAGGCCATTGGCCAACACCATCACACCAAGCAGCACAAAGTACTCCTTTGATAAACATGAAATTGAAAGGTGATGAAGCTACCATGCTGGCAGAGGACTCCGCTTGCAGCACATGCCACTCTGAGGATGACATCGGCAGCCATGACCTCCAGAACAGCGTGTTTGACAACCTGGATGTGATCCAGGTGACAGACTTGTCAGCAAGAGAAGACACACAGGCACTGGTTGAGACCCCCACAGAGGCAACGGTTTTGGCTGTAATCGAACCCATGTGTGAGATAAAGAGGCTCAACGGAATGGGTCTGAGGAATGGAGCTCATGGGACATGTGAGGTGGAGACGGACCAGTCTGGAGGTGAGGTCAATATGTTTAAAACCCTTTAGGAGTTTTAATTTTTTTTATTTGCTGTACCGATACATCTAACAAAGATAAACTGAAAACAGCAATACTACACACCATACACTATGTGTGTACCTTTGTGTTTTTAGCAATTGCTAATTTGCAACACCTTTCCCTAGAAGGGCTTTTAAAGAAATAAAACAAATGGGGGGAAAAAAAAGAAAATACAATATGATGACATTACAATATAACACAAGATAAAATGCATAAATCAAAATACAATAAAAACATATAATGCTAACTACAGTAAACTAGATGTGAGTACACATTTGTTGCTGAACTAACCAGGACTTGGCCTCTCTTTTAAGTGTTTAGGTAGCAAGTTCCAAGACTTTGCTCCTTTCACAGAAAAGGACGAGCAAAAGAAGTTTTGCAAAATGAAACTTTACAATTGCCATTTGTAGCTGCTCTGGTGGATCTGCTGCTACTCTGTAGTCTCTTAATGTACTTACATAGAGGCTGAGGAGCAAGTCCATTTATAGATTTAAATACAAGCTTTACATAATGAAAATCAATAAAGTTTGCAAAACTTAAAATCATGTATTTGCTTAAAATGCGACAGTGATGGTACCTGACTTGCTTTTTGACCAGAGTTTTCTTATCATCTTGAGCTATTTTAGCCTTTTTTAAAAATACTTTTGTTTTTGCCTTTTATATAGCCTATCACATTAAACCATGTTTTCTCAATCAAGCATATTAAAGGGTGCAAATGTAAACTTGCATATATGAATATAAAAAGGTAAATTTGAGATAAAACACTGTGATCTGATCAAACCGGTGTGCTCGGTGGCTCCTGGGGGTTAATCTGGTTATTAGTGGAAGTTGTAATTAGGAAGTGTTATTTAATATAGCCAGACTGATCTTTAAGGCCTATATTGATAATTAAGATTAAAATCTTCCAATAGTTATTTAGTAAACATTATCACCTCAGCAGGGCTTGCACTTTATCAGTACATCCAGTATTTCTTAGAAAACAGTATTGTGTTGGAAATGTTCATTAGGGTGCTTAACTTGAATTAGCTACCCCTGTATGTGGCCAATGTGTAATTCTTGGCCCAGGACAGCATTTCACCTCCTCCTGTCCTCCCCTAGGCTGGCTGTTCACACCAGAAGCGCCTTTCTCTGTCTGTTAACAAGCATTTGTGCTCCTCTGCTCTTTCTAATCACACAAAGCTGATCTTTATTATAACCCCATGTGACACAAGATCTTGTCACGCCCCTAGTTGGTAACGCAATGAAAAGGAGGTAAAAAGAGGATATACAGAGTAACTCGTCCGGCAGGCTAAATCTGTTTTCAGGAAAGAAAGTTGTCACAGTGTGGAAAACAAGAGTTCGTCTATTGGTCCAACCCTAAATCAAATGGACATCTTTTAATGAACTTTTCTGCTGCAGCAACAGGGTGTTTATTGAAATCAAGTCTTGTCAAGGACCAACCAGGTATATACAGGAAGAAATAACGCCGTTTCATTTTATTTATATAGTGCCAATTCATAAATAGCCGCAAGCGGCGATTTGCGGGTTCAAACCTTTTTTCGCAGTAGCGACTTCAAAATAATATCATACATGTGGTTTAACATTGTACTGAAACATATCCTGCAAGTTTTATAATGATTGGACAAGCATTTTCTGATCTATAGCTTCATTTGTGTAATTCCACATCCAGTTATTATGCATTTATAGCGCCTCCTAGTGGTCAATTTGAATGAGAGTGCAGTGTATGTGTGAGGTCCTTATGTAGACATATCCTTGAAGTTTTTTGTGTTGATTGGACAAACAATTTGTATTTTGTAGCCTGATTTGCGTTTTATCACCTGCAGTTTGTTTGCATTTATAGCGTCCCCAGGTGTTCAATTTAAATGGAACTTTCAGGGCATGTTTCATTTACTTATGAGGACACATCCTGAGAGATTTGTGTTGACTGGAGAATGAATATGGGATTTATAGTGTAATTTGTGTAATGCTAAGCACCTTTCTTGCGCTTATAGTGGCCCCTAGGGACATCAAACTGTCCAGGTATATCTGGGGCACCTATCTGAACATATCCTGTGAGTTTTGTGATGATCGGCCCTATGGTTGCTGATTTGTGTTCATTTATGTCCAGAGCCACGCCCCTTTGGACGTTTATTGGTCCATATCTTGAAAAGTAATTGAGATATCGACATGCTTTATACAACTTTTAATAGGCTTGATCCAGTGATGATCCACTGAAAATTTGGTGGCAATCAGAGCTACGGTCTAGGAGGAGATGTCATTGTAGCAAAGTGTCATTTCTTCAGTGTTGTAACATGAAAAGATATATACAATCAAATATTTACAAAAATATAAAGGATGTACTCACTTTTGATAGATACTGTAAGTGGCATCAATTTGAGAGAGGTCCAACAGCAGACATCCACTGTCAGGCTGGTCAGGACAGGAAATAACCATAAATAAACTGTTTTATTACGTCCCCCACAGGACATAACATGATGCATTCTCTCCGTCAAAATATCTACCGCTGTCAATATTGTACATCTAAATCACACAAATTACAGAATGTTACACGTGTGTAAGTTAGGTTATTTGTCGTTCTACATAGGTAACGTTAATAGTGGCTAGCGTTAGCTCCTGAAGTATTAGGGGCGGATATAGGGCCCGATTTACATCGGGCGGCTGTGGCTCAGGAGGTAGAGCGGGTTGGCCGTTAATCGGAAGGTCGGCGGTTCAATCCCTGGCTCCCCCTGGTTGCGTGTCGAAGTGTCCTTGGGCAAGATACTGAACCCCGATTTGCAGTGTATGAATGAATGTTAGTTTCCGTTTGAGCACTTAGGCTCAGTGTATGAATGTGTGTGACTGGTGAATGCAGATGTAGTGTAAAAGCGCTTAGAGTGGTCGAAAACACTAGAAAGGCGCTATACAAGTACGGAGCATTTCATTTTCATTACATACCGAATAAAGAGTACTAAATTGCATGTGCATTCTAAAATACTGCGAGCATTTACATTACATATTAGGATTTAGGATTTATTTCCTTTGGATTGCATAAACTGCTCATAGACTGTTATCTGTTATGGAAGATTTAATTGGACTTGGTCTTTTTATTTCACATACAAAGTGTTATTTACACATATTTGTGGATCCATTTCTACACACAAAAATGTTTTTACACATTTGCGGATCGCTTCCTGTCAATTTGCAGGTCACGTGACATTTGTAACTTGGTTTTTATACATTTGTGGAATTTTGTCCACTCTGTCCTGCTGAGATGTGTAAACAGAGATCTGTAAATTTGAGAGCAATTTACCAGCTACACCAGCAGGTGGGAACAGCAACATTCTCTCCCATGAATTGACAGGATATTCACGGCACTAGTTAGCATCATCCTCATCTGTAGAGACAACAAGGAAAAGGACTGTAGCCTTGTTTCAACCAACAGTGGAAAAATAAAGTGGAGAATCTTCTTTTAACTCAACACTCGTGATTCAGGATCGGGTTCATCCTTGTCACCTCCAAGGTAAGTCTGCTGTGCAGTTTCCTAACTTTGTGTCTCCTGTGGTGAGTTAGCTGTGTAACGTAAGCCTGCGTTACATAACAAGCTCATATTAAATCATTTAGTTCACCTGGAGAGATTTTATGATTTTCACAATAATTGGTTATTCCCACTACAACTGGAGCTAGCATACCAATCTCTTTATATAGCCTCCATTTACCGCTGTCTGATGGATCAGGTTACGTTTAGGTATATATGATAAAATCAGTAGGCTAGGACAGTTTGACTGATCAGTGCAGGATGATCATTATTTTAGTGACAAACACAGTGCAGCGACATCATGGTTTGCTGTCATATGATTATGGATTGGCGTGAAGAGGATTTCCTACAATAAATCGCTGAGCCTTTCTCTGTTTCCCCATTTTCTCAGCAGCACCTTGGCCTCCTCCTGTCTGAGCTGCTACTGGACTCCCAGCCTGCAGCACTGCTTTCTGAGCTACTTCTGCTGGCCCACTGGACTCTACTACATCTAAACCTTTCTGTACAAGTGTACATAGTTTACTATTGAATGCTTTTTCCCTGAAATAGTGTCTGTAGTATGCAGTCTTGTATTAGGCTACTACTGAAGTTTGAAGCAAAGAAAGCTTTGTAAAAGCATATGAAAAGCAGAAATATTCTGTGTTCTATAAAATCCCTTTTAGGAATACTACATTTCAATAAAGTTATAGCATATTTTGATGTGAAATGATAGCATACTTCGTTCTGAAATTATTAAAGCGTTGAATATTTATTGAGATTGTACTTTTTCACCACAAATAAAGGTGAAATGAAATCAGTACAACCAGTTTTTCTTTCTCCTCACTTTAATGTCCAAAACAATGGGAGATGAAACTTGGTGCAGCATATAGACATACTAACAGGACAAAGTATATTTATTCTGTTTCCTAAGTTGCATGGCAGTCAGTCTTTTTTTGTGGTTTACCCAGATCTTTAGTTGTTCACAGCAGTGGTTCTTTTTATCACATCAAGACCCCCTTAACTGACACAAATTAGACCACAGATCTCATTTGATAGGATTTTGTCCCAGACTTTTTGCTTTTTGATGTTTTGTGACAAATATATGAAACCCATGACCAAAACGGTCATACATTCTGTCATTGTGTTACTTATGGATGGAATTTTAGTGAAGCAAATGGCTATACAAAAGCTGCCGAGGCAGATGGCACCAAATTTTGCTTGCCCGCCGAGAGTGGCATTCCCCTACAAATAGTGCTTTTAAACGCTATAATATTCTTTGTGGGGTTAATCAATGGTGATAACTAGCATTTCTTGAGATTCAGCAAAAATATGTGGTGATGATTTGATTTGATCAGTGTTTGAAAAGGACCTTAAGAGGTGGATGTATTATTCGTCAGAACAGATGATGTAGGCTACCTGCCAAGATTTGCATCCATGTTTTTCACGTATTTTTTTCCTAACCCTCCCA